AAGACATGCAGGAAGTCGATGGATGCAGGTGGCTCAGGACCGTGCTTTGTGGCATTACTTGGGGGAGGCCTAAGTTCAGCAGTGGACTTGTGAAGGGCTGTAATGATGATGATGATGATGATGATTCATAATGACCAGACAATGTGATAAATAATGAAGTGTAAATCAGTATTAATCACATAACCCGATTTGACTTGTCATTATTCATACCCCGGTATTATAAATTATGCCCTGATTAATCACTTGGTCCATAACATATATATGTCTACACATCTATAAAGAGAGTAATGTACTTCTCTTTTTCGTTCTTATCAGATTTTATAGTTACGAAAATCCTTGTATACGCGCGTCTATCTTTGTACGCGCAACATACCAACAATATTCGACGCTTCAATTTAAGCCATAGCTTAAACATAAAATTATTTCGGAGTCAGATTCGGTGCTCCATAGTTCCGAAATACAGAACAATATTTGTTTGGCACGCTTCGAGGCGTTCCGGATAAAAAGCATTTCCACAGTTTATAATCCGACATAAATCCACTCTGTGTTAGTAGTTCCAGTAGTGTAATGAAAAAATTCGCACCATCTGTTGCACCCTTCATTACATACATGGTGTTCGATGAAGACTGGGACGAATGTTGCGTCAATTTTTTTAATGTAATTGAAATATAGAGGACCCCAAATGTTTTATTAAAGCTCTCTCAAATTTTTTGCCGCCTTTGAAAATAACTCCCTGTTTATTGATACGAATTTTACTTTCATAGTCTTAACGCGATCATGTCTTAATGTACAGAGTGCAAGCGACATTGTGTGTTAATCTTAGACGCGCCCAGCGACTTTCTAAGGATTTTTTTGCAATTTAAACTTTTTCTTTTTTCTATATGGGCTTTGCAGCTCGGCATGGATAATTAAAATTAATTTGTACTTTAAATTCAAACTTTGTCATATTATAAATACAATATACTGTAGTACATATATGTATACGGTAGTTACTGTTACATATTGATTCATCATCATCACAACCTATCACAAGTTCACTGCTGAACCTAAGTATCCGCAATAGATTGCTGCAAATGACGGTACTGAACCACCAGTACCCATTGACTCCCTGCATGTTTCATCAGCTCGTCACTTCAGTGTTACTAACAGTGAGTTTAACACTCTACAATCATAATATTTCACCTTTTTTATAGAATAAAGGTGGCAAACGAGCACACAGTCCACCTGAATAGAATAAAGGTGGCAAACGAGCACACAGTCCACCTGATGGTAAGTGGATGCTGTGGCCCATAGACATTACAATGCCTTGTTTTCAGTAAAAAGGGTCTCCGGTTCTTTACACTCACCATACGAAACACAGCAGCTATAAACTGCTATTTTACGAGGTATTACGCTTTATAAATATTATATTCTTTCTATAACAGCTTAAGAATATCGTAAACTCAATTCTTTATCAATACCTGCTAAAATTCGCAGTCATTTTTCATTACATACAATGGAATAATATAGGCATTGCTTTTATTACACTATAAAATCGGTAAATCTATTTTTAGCTGTTACATCCATGGAGAAAAATGTCCACGCTTCTTGTAAAATAGGGCAAGGCAAGACCTCGACCCCTCTATGGATTTTGATCATAGACAAGGATAGCGTTATAATATTTCGCGTATATTGAAAGGAGATAGGACGTGACACACGAGCGGGAAAAGATTTATCACGTGACTAATACCGAACGCATCGACGCAGCGCCGCGCTTCATCCCCCGGGACTCCATCAAACGAGTTTCGCTCCCCTATGGCACGATGCAATCTATGCTGAATCGTATTACAATAAATTGTATTAACTCGAAAAATACTACAGATAGCAAACATCGTCCATCTGCACACAATCGTCCCGTGCATCGTTCAAACACCGAGAGCCTACTATTTCCTCCCCGCAACTAGCACGGCAAAAATTTATAGGTTTTACGAGGGATCATCGGCGAAAGTCGTGGCAAACACAGTGCAATATTTCATTTTTGCGACCGGAAATTACGATATTTTAGCTCGTTTTTATGTAACATGACGGTCTTTATGAGACAATCTATAGGTATAAATTGTTCTTATAATAATAGAAATAAAATTTTAATTTTATAATTACCTATTGAGAAAATATTTTGTAAAAAAGATAGATAAAAGATAGATATAAAAACAGATACGATTTTGTATGTAAAATTGCTGATATTTACAAACCAAATAAATAACAGTCTCAGTGATTCACTAAGACAATTGATAAATAAGGGATATTATATTCTAGGAATAAACAAACGGTAACTACCACAACCATACTGTACGTGGTATTAGAGCCACGCTCCAGCTATATTATGGTTGCAGCAGCAATGGATCAGCTCGCGCTTAATGCTGCTGTATTTCGTATGGTGAGAGTAGAGAACCAGACACCCTTTTTATTGGAAATGAAGTATTCCATCTTAGCCCTCAGGGGTGACAACACATCTGCGTATTGAGAGTATAGACGTTAATAAGGCGAATCGTTTGCCCGTTTATTCTATAAAAAAATTATATTCCAGTATAGTATAAGTAAAAAAAAATTCTATAGTTTAAAAACGCACTTAAACGTTATTACATGGTAGAGCCATGCTGCAGTTATATTAGTAGCGTAGTTGTAGCACGAATGGGTCGGCTCGACCGGGGAAGGACCACGCTCTCACAGAATACCAGCGTAAAATAGTAGCTTAATACTGCTGTGTTTCGTATGGTCAGTGTAGGGAACCGGAGACCCTTTTTACTGGAAACGAGGCATTCCATCTTAGTCCTCACGGGTGACAACGCATCTGCATTTTGATTCGTAATCGAGGATAGATGTAGATGTCTATGGGCCACAGCAACCACTTACCATCAGGTGGACTGTGTGCTCGTTTGTCACCCTATCCCATAAAAAAACGTATAGGTAATATAAAAGACAGATATATAAGTCCGTACGTCAATAATTGTCATTGCCGCTTAATGTCGTTGCTGTCTTCCCTTAACTTTCGTATCTAAATTGTCCGATGCTAAGGCAAACGGCCAAATGGCGTCAACGCATACTGATCACTATCTGTAAGTAAATCTTGGGGATAGCTTGTCGACTGTCGAGGGTCGAGATGATAACTTAATTGCTCTGACACCGCCCGGGGTTATCCGTGGACTAACGGGGAGGTGAAAATTATTACTGCCACGTTTGAATGTTCGAATTCTGTTTACCAACAAGTTATACGTAATATAGTTCACTGCGTAACTTTGTTCAAAGCCTATCTTAATAAATATGAATATGATCGAGGTATTACGCTTTATAAATAAAAATAAAACAAATAACAATGCTAATCAATTGTGTATATTACTATAATGATGTCTTAAAAAGACAATATTGAGAAGTTTGATTTTGGATCATATAAACTGATAAGTTTTGTATTTTAGTAATGAATAATACAGTTTATTTCACTCGGTGAAACAATATTTTTTGTTTATACAAAGTCATATTTGAAAATATGAATATAAACACTTTTGTACTTATACATTTATAATAATAATGTCCTCCAGACCGAATTTCAGCCACGGTGGCCTGCCTCAACGGAAGCTAGCCATCGACGCAGGACAGGATTATAGTGCCCAAGTATATGCGGAAGCACAGGTGCATTCTCAATTCCCTTACTCTCATAATCCGATGGGACGGTAAACCGACACAACCGGAGAGAGGTCAGGCGCAGGACCAACGGCTTTACGTACTTTCCGAGGCACGGGGGTGAGACACCGCCAACTTCCTGACTCCGGGCAACTACTGGGAATTTCTTGACGGAAAAACTCAATAATTAATTTGTTGGTCCGACCCGGTATTCGAACCCAAAACCTCATGATCGGCAGTCGCACTACTACAACCACTAAACTAACGAGGCAGTCCGTACTTATACATTTATAGCCTATATTAAACATATTGAAATCTTTGTATATGATAATACAGTATATATAATAAGTAAAATACAGTATATATAATAAGTAAAATACTGCTGTTTTATTTCTATGACGTCACTGTATACTGTAGAGTAGCGAAAATATGGAAAGTAAAATCTTGGAATCATAAACTTTGACTTATGACTCTAATTTTGCGAGTATAGTTAAGCACGAGTCGCCCTACACGCGCAACCGAACAAAATAAACAAATACAAATACAAATGCCCATTTCTCGCAGGCTTCTTACCAAACTAATAAATGTACACAATAAATTCTCTTTGCATTACAATACTAGAACAGTTTACATTCCCCTTTCCAACGTTCTCTTTGGAAATTTTGTTTTTAAAACGTTCAGAGGGTTAAAAATATTCTGTGAAATAAAAAAAGAAATTCTGTTTTCAAAGTTATCAGGTTATTTTTAAAGGTATTTTTACGCTTCGTTTAACCCGTGTTATTAGAGCCCGTGCTCTCTATAGAAAATCTACGGCCAAACCGTAAAAAAATCCAATTAGGCAGCGTAACATGGAATTTGATCGATTCGATCACTGACAACTGTCACATAATGAGAAGACAACGATATTCTCGGGAGCAAGAAATGATTGGGTGTAACCGAACCACCTACGTGCTTGCCAGCCTCTCGGCCCGTGGCACTGGAACCAATTGATTTGTCACACAGCGACGAAATGCGCTTGAGCTGTGCTTCGCCTAATTAAAACCCGGTGGGACATCACGACATCTATTCTTCCCCATCCATGTTATTCAATGTCACACTCTGAAAGCCTTATTGTAAATTTTTAATTGCAAATAGTTTGCTTTAATATTTATAAGTACTTTGATGGTTCATAAGGATATAATTAGCTCCTGTTATACGAGTAATGTTCTTCCTCAATAAATATTTATGTAGAGTGCAAAAATATCTTTTCACTTTTAATATTATAAATAGTAGAAAATAAAAATACTTAACTTATGGTAATTTTGAAAGACCTTACTAATTTTTCTTAATTTCTTTCGTTTCAGCATTATCGTCAATTAAAAGTAACATAGACAATCCGAATTGTATTCTGGTACAGGATGTTAAAGCAGTAACACACGCACAGGGAATTAGAGATTCTTTATCAACGTCTTCACCATCTGATGGTAATATGCCTTCAATGCTTAATCATCGTCTTTTATTTTATTAACAATGCACATGTGTAATATAAATTTAATTGTGTTTGTAGAATCAATATCCACCTCTTCCTTGGGCGGCTGGTCATCTACAGCGGAAGCTTCAATAGAGTCTGCAATCATTCCTCAGCAAGCGCAGCAAGCCGCACCTCCTCCTTGGTCACCAGCTTTAGAAGTTAGGGATTTCGATGAATTACACAGCGCTACAATACCAGCTTATCAGTTCTGGAGTTCTGAATTCCGCAACAAACAACCAGCTTACGTTAGTCTCAACTTTACTGTACCTTGGGGCGCCAATTTTGCTGTTTATGGTAGAAGAAATGTAGCTCCGAGTGTAACTCAATACGATTTTGTTGAATTTATACGTGGCGGAAGAGTCGACCATAGATTACGAAGAAGAAGGAGTGCACATAAAACTAACACATTCGAACATTCTTTTGATAACTGGGATGCTTTGCTAGGCACAATCAGCCCATTTCACAGATGGAACCATACGATAAGCAAAAGATCGACAGATATGAGAGTGAATGTCAGTATATTGCAGTATCTCGACACAGGAAGATGGTTTATATCAATATATAATGATGAACTCCAACCTCATAGCGTGGAAATGATTGTGTCCGAAGCTGAAGGTGTAACTAACTCTTGTCCAGATGACTGCTCAGGGCATGGATCATGTTACCTTGGAAAATGCGAATGTATGGACGGCTTTGAGGGTCACGACTGCTCTAAAAGTAAGAATTATGTTTTTTTAACTATGATCACAATATAATTCAAGAAGTAGGTGCTTGTCTTAAATATTATAAAATCTGATAAATCTTAGTTCAATTTTTATTTTACATACATTTAAAGAAGAATTAAAATATATTTCAAAAACATACATCTTGTGCCAACTTACCCTGAAGTAGCATTGGTAGGAATTCTTCTTTGCTCTTTATTACTCTCAAAATAGAAAAATTATATGTTCAGTTATGGATGTTGAAAGGCAGCTTGCTACTTCTTAATTAGTAAGTAAACTAATTCGTACTTCCACAGGTGTGTGCCCAGTATTATGTTCCGGTCATGGCGCTTACGCAGGGGGAATTTGCCATTGTTCTGAAGGCTGGAAAGGAGCTGAATGCGATATACCTGCGCACGATTGCGAACCAGCTGACTGTTCCGGCCGCGGACAATGTATTGCTGGCCATTGTCATTGCAAGCCGGGATGGAAAGGACCTAAGTGCGATGAAGGTATATTTCTTTATTTCGAGATACTATATTTTCCACGTCTATGTAGTTGTTACATTTTGCCGAAGAGTCCCTTCGCGGTTTAGAAAAACTAATATTAAGCTATTGTACACCTCAACGCGAAGCGATTTTACTCACATTTAGTCAGTTACTCACATTTACAGCTCATTGGAATCTCATAAAGCATGGTAGTGTATGATTAGAAGTACGATTTAAATCCTCACTGATACAAACAATTAACCGTATAGTTTATGCTGAGTTTGATAATATTATCGAAATAGATAAAAACAGAAATGTTACTGTAGACTATAATAGTTAAGGTTATAATGTATGCTATGTGTTAGATTTATGTGTATAACAAGGTGGGTGACCTTGTAAACGCTCTTTTTAATTTCGGTATATTATTTTTATATCGCACTCTTACCTGAAGAAAAGCGAAACATAAATTTTAAGCGGAAACACTGAAAAAATAACTAATGCTTTTATTTAAGTTTTGTATTAAGTCTTATTATAAAAATGTTAAATGAAAAATGTTTATCGTTGCCGTCCGTCCGTTAGTCTGTTGTAAAAATAGTGTTTTCCCAACCTACAAAATGACTTAAATCTTTTTCACTACCCTCAGAATGATGCATTATTGGTTCCTTTCTAATATCACCAGATGGACACCCACCTTCTTGTTTTATTTTATTTCAATAAAATTATTATGGCTAAAGCCGGCAATTTGATATTGTAAAGTTTTGTTAGTGGAACTCAGACTACTTTTTAATATAAAATAATGAATTACAGATTACTTTTTAATAATTAGTGGGGTTTTTAATCAATTACCTGGATGTCCCTGAAAAGTAATATTTATTTAAATAAATGTGACATGAATCTTTTTATATAACTTGCTCGTTTAACTATTTTAATATTTTAGAGGACTGTTTGGACCCGACATGTGGCGGCCATGGCTCTTGTGTTCGCGGACGATGCGTTTGTCGTGCGGGTTGGCGCGGTGCGGCATGCAGTGAACGTGATGCCCGAGTACAACGTTGCTTACCAGCATGCTCCCAACGAGGCGTATATGATCTCGATGCTGGTAGATGTGTGTGTGATCCTTTATACACTGGTGATGATTGTTCTCAGGGTAAATATCAAATAATAAATAATAAAGGTATCAAATGCATTGAACTCTTTGTAACTATATTGTATAATATATTATTTGTTAACAGTGGTCTGCTCGCTGGACTGTGGACCACATGGCGTGTGCGCGGAAGGTGTATGTCGTTGTGATGAGGGCTGGACCGGGTCGTTATGTGATCAACGTCCATGTGACATTCGATGTCACGAGCATGGCCAATGCAAAAACGGAACATGCGTTTGCACGCAAGGGTGGAATGGCAGGCACTGCACGTTACGTAAGCATTTTTTTAAAGATGAATGCATACATTATCTATTTTATTGATTGGAATATTGCAAAGTAGGTTAATAAAACAAAGATTGTCACACAACAGACACACACGCACGCACGTACTCACGCACGCGTGCACGGATGCTCGCACACACAAACATACACACACCTACATGATTACTACTCACACAACACTTGATCCCATTCCTTGGTTTTTGTTTACTTCGTGTTATTTCATTGTTGTTATCAAATTTTATTTATTTTTTAACTCGCCCGAATCTATTATAGTTTTATAGTTTGTGGGAAGACATTGGTTCCTAAAACAACAGTACAGTTTCTACAACTACTTAAAAGCTAGGGTTCCAATTTTATTAAAAAAATCATGGCAAATAAATAGTTTATATATTTATTTTATTTAAAATATTTTCACTTACACTTCTTGAAGAAGTAAAGGAAACATTTTACACAATTATATTATGAAGCATGGTAGCTCACGAGCTTTCATAAATTTTATAATACGTACATAGCCAGGATTCGATCCTTTTTCCAATTGTTACTTGAAATTTTATGTACTGATTTACCACTTGCTTGGCGGTGAGGAAAATTGTGAGGAAACCCGCAAGTCTGAGAAATAAAATATGTCGAGGGCATATGAACTTCGCTAACGCACTGGAGCAGTGCGGCGTATTGCGTCAGAAATGAGAAAAGGCCTTTACGTAACTGTGGGACATACATAGATTGTAACTTTAACTTATTCGTTTAGCTGGCTGTCCAAACGGTTGCTCTCGGCACGGTCAGTGTCTCTTAGAGGATGGAGTCTATCGCTGCTCGTGTGCTGATGGTTGGGCCGGTACGGACTGCTCTATCGCCCTAGAACTCTCCTGTAGCGATAACGAAGACAATGATGAAGGTAACGTTACTGATTTCAAATGATTTACACATTTGACATATTACTCGCAATTAAGTCGTACAAGAACATCCATATATGGAAGAAACCGTTTTTTTTTTCAATATAAGCTAGAATCTGATAATAGAACTACCGTTTTGAAGATGGCATGACGGACTGCTCGGACTCGGAATGCTGCAGTCGGCCAGAATGCGCTGAACACATCATGTGCCTCGCTTCAAACGACCCGGTAGAAGTGCTACTTCGCAAACAACCACCTTCAGTCACCGCTTCATTCTATCAACGTGTCAAATTCCTCATAGAAGAAAACTCAGTTCAGAGCTACGCGCACATGGACGAATATTCAGAGAGGTCAGTGTTACAAATTAAATCCTGTTCGAACACCAAATCATTTATTTAGCGTAAAAGATATCGTTTCTACGTCATCTTTTAAAGAAGTTTAACGATATCTTTTACTTGGTATCGGTTTAGGACTAAATAATTGTAATTTTTGCACTTAATACCTAATAACAATAAAATGAGTTTTAATGCCATCTTCATATAACAATATGAATTCCTAATAATAAGAAAAAAATCATTCCATAATGTAATTAGGAATTTGCACCTTTACCATTTTTGATCCTGCTCATTCTCCTAAACCTCTCCGAGGATTTGGTGTGTTTTTTTATGTTATTTCTGAACTCTACTTTTTAATTACTATTTATTTTGTCATCTGGTGGAAGTGTTTTGAATTTCCTGTGTTTAATCGTGTGTAAAATAATGATTTTATTTTGCGATCCCCGCATGACTTTTATTTTAAAATTTAACCATATTTTGAAGTAAAATTTTAGTTTTATTTATTTTTATTTTTCACACCAGATCCGATGTGTTGTGTATTGTCTAATGTTTATCCCTTGTGTGTGTCTTACCCTACCTGTTTGTCTAAACAAAACAAAAGCGTCTTATAATAACGTTAAATGGATTATACGATTGAATGAGCGCTCAAAGCTTCCGAACAGTTTTGTTTGTCTTTCCGTCGAGTAAATTAACAGCTATTTTTATAAGGATCGCCAAACAAGACTTGAATCATGACAGACAATTATCAAGAATAATAAAAGATGAAAACTAAATGAGTTAAAACAAAAAGTCTTTGTTCATTTAACATTGTTTAGTCTGTTACGATTCTAGTTAGAACTTTATCAGTTCAAAATGTTTAGTTGCCCTAATCTCGAACATACAAAATAGTTTTTTAGAATATTATCTGATCTCTCAAAATATTAAGTAAGACAAAGCAAAACTGAATAATAAAAGTAGTCAACCCACCTCGCTTTATATGCAAAAGCGCCTAAAAAGTTTGTTTGCATTAAAACACAAGCCGCTTTACTATTTTAAGTTGAAAAATCTAGAGGGTTATATTGCGTTCTGGCATTTGTTTCATTAAATCTTATCAAATGACGAAGTTCCTAACGACATAATGTGTTCGCCATCCAGCATGTTTCATCCATGTGCAACAATGGACCCATTAACTAAATGTAACTTTTTTTTAAATGCTTTCATAAAAAAAGTGGTGGTGTTGTTCTAATGCAAACGAGCTTAGTACTCGAGCCAGTAAATTCGCAAACTAATTCGTGACAATCATTTTAAGCAAGTGTTATAACGCAAAGTAACCAGTGTAGACAAGTGCAGTCACGGACTGCACAGCCGGGGTGGTGTTGCACTGAGGGATGTAGGTATCTGTGTAGTAATCTGTCCTGTCTTTCTGTGTCCCTGTGCCGCCGTGTGTCCGCCACTCCTAGCGAGTTCTGGAATTCCTTTACACCATGGTAAGTGTCAGTCAGCCCGCCCTCGCCCCTCAGTGTTCAGTATCTGTTAACCTGTTCCGTTTTGTTGCAACTCCTGCATATATATGTGACGCCGGCACCCGCCGCGTGTCTATAAAGAACACGCGAACGGTGCTACTCATGCTTCTCTCTTTTCGTTCATTCCTTTGTCTGTATTCGTTTCATTCTCTATGTGTATGTAACATCTGTATGTTTGTCTTGAATGTTTTTTGCGGTTGCGACAAATAAATATCATTTTAAATTAATTTTATATACACATGATGTGGATATAATACGTCGTGTATTAAAATATAACAAATTATAAAAAATATATGTCGAATACAATTTGCCGCAACCACAATAGTATTTTGTAATATTTATTGTTCTCGTCTACTGTGCTTATACTACAATAGCTCACATATGATAGTACTTTTGTTATATTATATGAAACTTAGGAAAATCATTTACGCTTTCACGCAGAACGTAATTAACACATTTTGATAGGTGGTAGGGCTTGTAAAATACGAAACGAGACGCGAACTTTATATTGTCAATTGAGCATAATTCCAACTAACACGCAAATTTAGCTTCAAATAAACTTACCCTTTTATGTGTTCCTTACCCTTTGTCTGCGTCTTTCATCTGTGAACCAACCCCTTACCCTTTGCCCGAGCTCTATATGTGTTTAGATCCTAACCCCTGTGACTAATCGAAACACATTTTTTTTTAAATGAATACTTCATAGCGAGACAATAGCAGTCTCGTCAATATTGTATAATACAACCATTGCTTCCATCAGTTTGTCATCATTTACATGTTGTTATATCCTCACTTTGAAATTGGTGCAAAATATGTAAATAAGTTTTTTTTTAATATATCATTTTAATATTCTTTACCCTTATATTATATTCTTTTAAATTCAGTTTTTTTTTTCAATGTTCAATATGCTAAAAATTATTTACCTTTGTTTTAAGTTCAACAAAGCCTAAACACCAAAAGTATTATTGATAAAATAATTTCAGATTACAGACTAACATATTATTATGTAATTATGATAGTTATGCAATAGGTCAAGATGTTATACTTTTATATAAAGTTTACAATAATGGATAATATGTTTTCTATTAAACCCGCAAGTCCTTGAAGATAACACAGGAACATTTTACAAAGGTACTGACTTTGTGAGTGTGCGCTATTGAAAGACCCTACTAGATTGCCGTCGGTGTCGTGGTTGCGTTCATAAAAACAAAACACAAGCAAGTGCACGAGCAATCAGAATGAAACAAAACGGCGGTGGTTGGGTGCAAGATGGGAAAGGAGCGAGGGGCATTTGAGTGTTGGAAAAAGTATATTACACTGGAATCGACTAATACTATGGGATACATTTAAACAACATACGCTAATGAATCTCGCACACTACTAACGTACTAATATTATAAACTAAATTACTGCTACCAATACGATACGAAAATAAAATTTTGCGTTCATAAGAGAGTGCACATCTTACAATGACCCCAATATTAATATAACTTTTTATTTAAACTTTCAAACTTTTGTTTTTATTTCAATAATTTGCCGTATTATTATGTTAAAGCGCTTGCACCAATTTCAAGTGTAAAATAACTGCATCATATCACTACGTAAGAAATATATTTATATTAAATAAAACTATGGTTTGTGTGGCAGCTGTTACATGCATTATTACCTACATACATACCTTTCTAGATAGATTTCCGTTTTTTATAAATTAATGTCAACAACCTTTGCATCTTAAATATAATTATTTAGATACTTTAATGTTAAAACTGAAATCTACTCTAGGTACTTAGCTGACTGATCCTAATAAGAGAATGTGCAATGCTAAAAACTTCTTTTGTTTTATTAAGTTTTTATTTCATTCTTCACTTCCACAGAATTTATAACAAAATTATAAAACGCATTAGCACGATGACTTCGCTCAGTTTATAATCAATGGGAATTTACAAGGCAATATGTTTTATGTTTTAAATTAAAAATATTTTACAGTAATTCATCGCATTTTGAACACTACACTTATAAATAATATATTTTAAATTACATTCTTTCGTAACATTTTATTTCTTACTTGTGTAAATAACATCAGAGACAAAAGCTTTAATAAAAACAGGTCACTATTGCATGAACTATTAATTTTTCTTTAAATATGTACTTATAATGTATACAAAATTGTTTTCTAACGAAAATTACATGTTATAAGGTACATACGATCAATAGAAAAGTACACACCAAAGTTACATAATCTATTATTATAAATTTAGGAATTGTAGTTAATTATAGCTATGAGTTATTTAAAAATTAATATCAAAAATTTTACATTTCTAAAACGACTTCACTTTAAATAAAATTAAATAATTATTGCATAAAATTTTACTCAAATTTTTACACAGAAAAATATAACTGATTCCTTTTCGTTATAACTTTGCATAATTCCAAAGGTATTGCTTCATTTTAAGATATTAAAAGAATAATTCTGACTAAGCACTAACGAATATAAACAAATTGAAAGAATGTCTTTTTAAAGAGGAACTATTAAATTAAATTGAATATTATGCGAAACAGCCTTTAGTATGGAACTAGTCCTAAAGTAATTTTATAAAATTTCAATTTATTTTATTAGTAATGAGTTAACAAACAAAAGTGTAAAGCTTTACAATTCACTCACTCGTAGTATTATAGACTGATAAAGTTAACCCTAAAATACAAATAAATACATTAAACTAAATTGACACCTTGTCAAATGACTAAGACAGCACATTCATATTGTGTGTGATTACATAAATGTAATTCAGTGATTTGCGATACTGTTACGATTCACAATGTAGACAACACTGTATTGTCACTGCGCTTCATGTAATTAATTCCTGTCTTTGTCTGTGATACATATTCATCTCACTTTGGATATTCCAGTGATCAATTAGCAAAACAACATAATCTGATTATGTATTTTTGATTTTTATTATACGCAGTACTTGAAGAATATTGTTATACAGTTTCAATAGCTAATTTGATCATAAATTTAAACAAGTAAAAATAATTATGATAGTGATATATATATATATATATATATATATATATATATATATATATAAATATATATATATATATATATATAATAAGTGAAAACATAAGGATCAAACGCTGAATGAAATTCAGCGTTTGATCCTTATGTTTTCAAGTATATAGGTAGGCAAAAAGTATCCACCAAATAATAATAGTGAATTGCGACAGCTCAAAGGATTAAATTTGCTGAAACTAAAGAGTTCTAAATTTAAATGAAAAAAAAATGAAAGTGAGAGAAATACTCGTAATACAAAATTTTATGATATATTAATCAATAGATAATATCTATTATAATAATATAATATTATAATTCAGATGACCTAGACAATTTTCCCTGAATTAGGACAAACTTAGTCCCTGCTGGCTAAAGTACAACTCTCTTCGCTTATAAGTAAATTTAAATAATTACACCTTTTCTATTCAGGTAGGCACATAGGCACTACAGAAGCTAAAACTTAATTAATTAGAGGAATTTTCATCAATTAAGAAATTACAAATGAGAATATTTCACATTAACATTAAGTCTTGACTTCAGATGTTAGAGTATTTAAGTCTCAACTTTGAACGCCTTAATAAATACAAAAGTAATTTGAGTACTTCACTGAAGGATAACCTATTAACTAAAATCAAACTGAAGTTGCCTGTATAGTCAAAGTACGTACGTACATCAATTGGTGCTTCTAGACTGGGTGAAAAGACGAGCAGGAGCAAGCTAGCAAGTGAGCTTTTCTTTTTTAAAGCAAAGCTTTAAAACCTCGGTATATTGTCTGCTCGTCAATTTTTTACTAAACGCTTTTCAGATAATGTGATCAGCTGGTGAACTTTTTTTATTAGTACTGTCGTTTTTTATCATCGGTCGTTTGATATACATCAGACCCAGGATAAATTATCGTATATCAATATTTCCAGATAAGCACTATTAAAATTAAAAACCATCTTAATTTCAATAGTATAAATTAAATCCAAACTCAAGCATACCACTGCAAGAATTCAAGATACTCTAAGTTCGTCCTGCGTAGATCGGACTAAAAATTTATATTCAAAAAGTGAAGGTAGCTGGGCTAACTATGACATTGGGATGTCAATCATCCCAGTCCCCCACCCCCGCCCCACGTGACCATAGGTGGTTTAAAGCAACCGAAACGTCGGGTATCAAAAATAAGTTAATTAAACGCGATAAAATCCGTATATATAGTTTTATTCAACTGGAAAAGTTACAGCCTGTAGTGTTTTATCTTATCCTCGGGGATGACAACGTATTTGTAAGCTTTATTGTTTCCAAGTGTTTATAGACTCGCTCGCAACGCATTTGTTCCAAAATAGCCTCTTGGGCATGACGATAGGAATCAACGCATTTATTATATGCTCGTTGAATATTTTTTTATAAATGTGCTCGTGATTTCATGCACGCAAATATTCATTATACAGAAATCCTACTAATATATATGTCGTAGGATAATTAGATAAACCGAATTTTCCGCAAAAAAAACTGGGGATATCGCGAAAACGTGGATAATTCTACGATTGGTCGAATCTGTTCTAAAACCGAATCAGCACACCAACATTCCGCGTAGTTTTTTCTGCCCTACCCCTAGAGTGTTTTTGTAAAGCCGTAGGCGCGAAGGGAGAGCAGCCCCCGCCCGCCGTAGCAAATTGCAGGTACTCGTGTGAGCCGTAGCGGCGGAGGCTGGTCGCCGAAGGCGACCAATTATTCGAAGCTTTAGAGGTGAGCATAGTTGCCTGCGATTTGCTACCCTAGGGCGAGGTGCCGCACTTCCTGCAGTGCCGAAGCTGTTACAGAAGTAACTTTGGGTCAATATTCCTGTGTAAAAAGTGTTAAGATTTTACAAAAAAAAATCATTATACGCCCATTAACCAAAATCAAGCCAATCAGAGTTAAATACGTTCAAAATTGCAAAACTCTTAATCTTTTTTCAGTAAGATTGAGAAATGTCATAGCCATTGTCTATTTATCCTAGCTTTCGCGATATCTCTAGATTATTGCGGAATATTTGGTTTTTCGGTCCTACGACATATACAAACGAAATATTATTGTATATAGGGTATTAAAATCATCATCGTCCGTAAAACTCCAGTCCTGGACGCAGGCACTCCCGTAGAGAGAAGATTTCCTTCTCTGAAGACTGCCTATTACAGCACCTACCAGTCTTAAGCATTTAGCTGCTGCCCCTCGCTGGTCTGGGTAGTTTACACCTAGCGTAAACAAATGCTTATACCACATCTTTCGTTTATCCCATATTTGCCTCCTAAGACACCCGATGACTGTAATAACTTCTCGTTAATTATTAACATGTCGTTACATTTTGTTATAAAACCATCTAAAATAAATATTATATTCAGATTTATAACTAAAACACGACTAAACGAATACAGAGGAAGTAGATATAGTTATCTTAGTAACTACATGTACTTTATATTTGTATATTTACAATAATACAGTATTTTGAAATTTGAAATTTGTAAATGAGCCGTGGTAGCTCAGATAGTTAACGTTAGCTGAAAATTTCACAGTACGCGAGTCAACCGGGTTTGATCCCCGCCGGCGCCAATGAAATTGTTAATTGCAATTTTCTTAATTGCGGTGAAGGAAAACATCGTGAGGAAATCTGCATGTCAGAGAAATAAGAAAAAAAATATTTCGAAGAGATGTGAAGTTCGCCAACACGCATTGGGGCAGCGCGGCGGACACTTCATTGCCCTAAAACCCTTTCAGAAATGAGGGGAGGCCTGTGCCCAGCAGTGGGACGTATATAGGCTGTAACTTTACTTTTTTTACAGTATTCTAACGTATATCTAATCAATTGATTCGTGAACGAATCGTAACTGAGTGCGCGTGAATGCACTTTGAATTTCTTTGACATATTATTATATTTTATTTTATTGAATAATGGCTTGGGTTTGAAATTAAGTCGCCTGAGTTTGAGGATTCTGTCACTGTAGGAGGGAGGGGGGTTATTTTTTAAAAAATATTGGTAAATGACTACCTACTGTCAATGTCATGTAGGCATGTCGATCTGAAATCGATTAATCGATTTCTTGTGCAAAAAGATCGATTTTTAAATCGATATATCTATCGATCCAGTGAATCGATATTTTACCCTAGAGAATTGAGGTCGAATCTTTTTCTGTTTTAATAAGAACTATAAAATTATTTACAATTAGTAGAATGTTGGATACATTCTTCTAACTCATACAGAATGAGAGTTTTTCTATTTAAAAACTCGCAAAACTGCTGTGTGCTCAGTTTCTTTCGCCTCTTCGTAATAGAATAAAAAAAAGTTACGTCTGTTATCTGTACTTTGTGGTATCTTTTGATATTGTAAATAATAAACTCTTACCGCAAATAACAAAAAGATCGATTTTTGAGAAATCGATCATTAAGACTTCGATTTTTTTGTGAATAGATTCATCGAATTGAATCGATTTAAAATGTGTAAAATAATTCGCTAGGCCAGCCATTTTATTGACAGTAACAGACATACTTTACGTCATTCCGTTGCTTCCGAGTTTCAGAATTTTGGTGATGCCATAGTGGAATATTTGTGGCGGCGGAATACTGCTAAATATCGCAAAGATCCTTTCTTACAAATTAAATTAAAGTAATTACAAAAGGTGATATTGCGGTGTTGTAGCCCCGCTTCGCGGGGCTCCGTCGATCGGGCTTCCCTCGACTGCACCACGTTGAGTAGCGTGGGGCTTCCGTCCCCCAACTCTCTCCCCAGGTTAAAATTGTTAAAATTGTCAAAAAAATTGTGAAACATAACCACAAAATGAGATTTTTAAAAATTTATAAATTAAACATTTCCGGCATGGGGGGAAGTAGGGGGCGACTCTACTACTCGTCCCCCCTTCTCCCCCACCACCCCTCAACCTCTGATTCAGACGACTTAATAGTAAACCTTACCCTTGAATAAGGTACAAACAGGCAGTAGTTATATACAGTTTTAAAATTAAAAGTATAATGGTGTTGATCTAAACTACAATTCAAAAAAGTGCACAGCATAATAACTGCAATAAAACCTTTTTTTATCAGTCAACTGCATTAAATGAAAGTGGTAACACTTTAATGTTAGTCAAATCTTATCTCATCACTGAATACTACATCCAAATTGGTTCAGCCACATTGGAGGTTAGGTTGAACAAACACGCACAGATAAACAAACAAAATCTATTTACAATTTATTCATATAAGATAAGGTCTATTTCAAAGGAGAAGCTATGATTATCTGTTGGCGGTGATCTCGAATGTCAACATCATCAGCCCAATAGCCAATAGTCATTTGTAAATAAAGAGGATCAGACATCTCGCACTATTGACACTTCTTCTAGCAACCAGTCTATGTAGTTGCGATAAGTTCGAGATAATACGTCCGCATTATTTGTCTCGAGATTCTGGCGGCATTTACTTTGGCATCGGTTTGGATACACACACGACGACTTGGAGTTACGGATCCATTGCACAACTTAAAATTTAAAAAATTATATTTTAATTACATTCGTATCGTACCCTACATTTGTCCAAAAGTTGCAGTTAAATCTTTATTAACCACAAACTATCGTTTAAAAACAAAACGTTATCTTACAAGCCGGTGACAAAGTTACCTTTATAATAAATTAAACAAATTCTACAGTACTTTCAATGAAAATTATATAAGAAATAAGTAATTAAAAATATTTTTACTGTGCAACATAGTTATCAAAATATTGAATACCACCGTATAATACTGTCTTCATCAAATGCATCTTATTAAATTATACTTTAAGAATAGACCGTATTTAAGGAAATGTAAGATTAATCAGGATAGCGTCTCAAACTTAATTTATGCACACAGATGTGCATGCAACTTGTTTTATTGTATTTAACATTTGAATTCGCCCGCATCTACATTAAAGCTAAACATAGCACAGGAAATGTTTTGTGATCTTAACTCTTTATCTTGGAAAATTTACCAAAGGAAACTGTCGGGTGCGTTACATTAACACGCACTGGTTACTACATATGCTTAAATGAAATAGAACATAGTATGCTTTAATAAATAGTTAAAGAACACATGTCAGAATTACTATTACCAGAATAACCATGTTTTAATATACATATTTTGCAATAACTATACTACCATATTCACATATTATATACATATATACATAATTATATAATATCTTCTCATATATACCTGTGTAAATATTATTAATTTGAAATGTATTTAAAATATTATATGAAATCTTATAACATGTTTAAAATATCATATTGAGCATTTAAAATTGAATCAAACTGAGAAAACATATTGCCTTGTACTGTGCACTGCCCTCCAATGTTAACTGACATTATGTAACAATGTGTGCAGCCGTGTGTCGGTGATGCGAGGGCAAGTTGTCTCGCCACAAGGGCTTGGTATCATCGGAATACGGGTGTCCGTCGATAGAGAGGCGCGGTTTGGCTTCACCCTCACTCGACAGGGCGGATGGTAAGTATTGCTTTCATTTATTACAAAACTTATGTTTTGCTACCACACTGCATGAATCTGCGCAAGCTCTAAACAAACGCGTAACAAGTACAAAAACAAACAAAGAGCAGCAATTTATTATTAAAAGATAAGGAACTGAGTTAAACAGACCGAACAAGTGTAAGGACGCTATACCAATCATTTTGTATCAAATTGTAGTGAATTAATTCGAAGGTAGAAAAAAAATTCGATTTTAATGACCAATTGTTTGCATGCCTTAAGCGCAAAGCGCGTAGGAATGTTCTACTGGCGCCTAAAAATCAAGAATCCAACGTTTTATTGCATGAAATCGTATCTAACACTTATATTGAATATATAAATGATATGAAAGTCATATTGTCAGAAAGATAAATGATTGTTGAACTTATAATTTTTTAAATCGATTATTATTTTTACATAAAAAGTGGTTAACGATAACTTTTAAAAATATCAGTTGTTCAACTCAATCTATTTTTTTAATCTCTTCATCTATGATGTGGGAAGCCATGGAATGTAAATGGCTGTTTAATTTCGGTTTGTTTAGTTATAATAAATTTTTTCCTCTGATAAATTCCGAAATTTTCGGTAAGTAGCCTTATAAACTAAATAGTACAGATACACTTCGACTCACTCCGGACTCGACCACCGTCGTGAGTGGGTTACTGTATCGTTTGTTTACAGGGGCTCGTGATAAAAAATATCGATCGCTATAAAAATATTCCAAAAACCATATTTGATACATGCTTGACAAGGGTAAGATATTATTATTATTTTTATAATCACAGATTTTCATTGCAATATATTGTTTCGCTAAAAGTACATAGGATTTATATATAAATATACTATGGTATAATATACTTTGGTGAATGCTGAATTAAAATACTAGTTATGGCTAGATGGAAAAAGATTTGAAAAAGAAATTAACCAGATGAGAAAAAAATATTTACGAGTCGGGTAAAAAGACTAGTTTTTTGATAATGCCCGAGTACAAATACTTAAAAATTAAAGTAATATTAAAGTTGATTTCTGATCGTTTTATGATAATTCCGTTAGGTTTTTTAATTAACAATAATAAAAAAATTTGTTGATTGAAATTTTTTTTTCTCGATCGTATTGAGCATATGAGTCGTGCACTTTTAGATTTTCTAAATAATTTTTGTATTGACGTTTGACATAAAATTATCGGAAAATTAGAGGTAATAGTAACAAGATTATTCATGAAAAGTTGTGTGTATTTAAAATGGACGTATTACACGAGCGATTCAGGCATGCACATTTGAATTTACCATTTTTTTTATTAATTATACTAATTTTATTAAAAATTAGAATCTACGCCATTGAAAACTACCTACACAAAAAACTTTACGTTCGTGAGAATATGCGCTATTGCGAATACCACATCTCGCTTTTAAAGTCTGTCAAACTATGACACCTACATACAAACATACATTGTAAACATTTACATAAGTACTTGCTCCTAAATACTATAGACGCTCGAAAAACACGTTTATTCTTTTGTAAAAGTTGCGTAATAAAGTACATAGCTACATAAGGTATCCATACAAATTTTAAAACAAAAGCTAAATATAATATTAAAAATAAATGCCAGTTTGAGCTTTAGGATTAAATACTAAACTAAAACGATTGATAACAATATTATTATGACACAAATTAATCGCCACCTGCATTTAGTTTGTAGCTGATACAGAATAAATAATAGTAGTAACCGACATTTGTAAATATTTTACACAACTTTGCCCTTTAAAAGCAATAAAGCTAAATACAGCAGGTGAAAGTAACAGAAGCCCGTGCAAAGCACAAAGTAATGCAGCAGATACGAATAATTAAAACACAGCTTGCCTTGTTATCGGTGCCGTTATTTTAAAATGTTAACCAACATTCTACCATTTTTCTTCGTTACATTTACCTACATTACCTTTATTTTACCTTTAGTACATTTACTTACATTTACCTTTAGTAAAAAAATTATAATCTATTATATAAATTACGTGTCACGTTGTTTGTCCGCGATGGACTCCTAAACTACTTAACTGATATTAATCAAATTTTTACACCGTGTGCAGTTTGGTCAAACTTGAGAGATAAGATAGTTTTTTTGGTCATGAGTTTTAACCCACCCAACCCACAATTTTATTTTTTGTGAATTTAAGGATTTTTAATAGGACATGACAAAGGGTCGTTGAAAAGGGCAGAACGTCTGCCTGGCAAGCTAATAGTTAATAAATTTAAATAATAAGCGTTAGTAACACATAATATATACATGTACATTTGTATCACCAGATTTATAACTATGCTGAGTAATAAACAACCGCGCAAACAATGCCTTCTCATAGCATAAAAAGTACCATACATGATACGAATATGATTTTATAGGATATTCTATTATTGTTGGCCGCGATTGCTCAAGATTTATCAATATACAAGCAAGCCGAGTTTAATCCCTATCGGGCATAAACAAAATTGCAAATTTAGCTGCTGATTCACTTTGTACTCTAGCGGCAGTTAGTATTGTCTATGTTCGGCGGTAATAAAAAACGTTGTGAGAAAACCATAGATTGCTGAGAAATAAAAAAATAATTAAATACATGTGCAGTGAGCCAACACGTTTGATATAATGACGGGGATGATACTGAATATGTGTTGACAGTATTGAGTCTGCAGAATTCTCTCAGCGCACCGATGTTTCACGTCAGCTATATCTTTTTCAAGAGATTTGATTGACCACAAATCCTCACAAAAGAATACTGATTCCTACCAATGATAATTTGCGAGACTATTGAAATTAAAAAAAAAAAAAACTTAATTCAATAGTGAAGATGATTGGGTGACCAGGGTGTTAAAGTCTGCATGTCTGCTTGGGATCCTGTAATTTGTAATAATAACTTTAGAGACCCCGTATTGTTGTAAACAAGGCATTTCTTCTTAGCTCTCAGGGTGACAAGGCATCTGCATTCTGATTCCCAATGGAGGATAGATGTCCATGGGCCATAGCATCCACTTACGAATGGACTGTCTGCTCGTTTGTTACCTTTATTCTATAGAAACCATCATATCACTGCATAACTACAAGATAATATAAATTTATTTTACGTAAGTCGTGCTAAAGTTAATAACTAAAACCTGAAGATGCCTATCTCTCGGGTCAGGTTAATCAGGTCATAACGATGTCGCGCAAAAAAACTAACATCAAGATGTCGCGCAAAAAAACAAACATCAAGATGTCGCGCAACAAATTACGAGGACTAAGATGGAATGCCTCGTTTTCAGTAAAAAGGGTCTCCAGTTCTCTGTACTCATCATTCGAAACACAGCAGCATGAAGCTGCTATTTTAAGTTGGTATTCTGTGAGTGCGTGGTCCTACACCGATCGAGCCGACCCATTCGTGCTATAAGCTTATTATAGTCACATAATTTAACGGAAAGTGAAGGACAAACTTAACTTTGCAGCGGAAATAAAATCCTAACATAGTACTTCGGTCTACACCGGCTAAACACTTACAAGTTAAGTACAAAATGCAGATATAAGCGCTAGATTAATTTTGTATGGGTTTGGTTGTGAAATCTTGAAAAAAGAATTGCATTTATAACGACGACGAAATTTATATAGACGGCAAAACAACAAACACACAAAGAAAATAGCAATCACGGTCAATTTTAATTGTAGTTATGCATGAACTCACAAGACTTAAAAAAAAATTGGTAATGATTTGCTATATTACTAGCAACGTATAATTTTAAAGAAACGAAAAAAAAAGTGATGCCGAAATTTAATGGGTTCATGCATATTGTATGTAATTTCCGTGTAATACCATATGGAATTGCGTGACAAAGAAAAATATTTGAAGAAGAATTACATTATATGTGAATATTTTAACTAAATGCCGTTCAAGTGTAATTAATGTATAATAACCGTGACTGAATGGCGGACATTATAAATTTCTCACACGACGTAATCACAGTCGTAATCGAACTGCTCGGCAGCCAAAAGGAAAACGTTGTATAATATAATGAAATTTATACATAATAAAATGAAAAAAAATCTTTCATTCGACTTTTAAATTAGCCGGGTCGCTGACCTTAAAATTTATCCAATCAAAAAGTGGAAGTTTATAGTAGTAATTACTTACTAATTATCTATATGAAATGTATTGCCATACTACGTAGTAATATACTGATAACAGATAGTAAGAATATCCTCTCCCCCATATCGTCCCGTGGGTGTGAACAAGGGTGACAGAGGTAAAATGAAACGGGAGATGGTCAGCAGTATCTATCTTCCTGATAACGACTCAAAATTATAAAAAAAACGTTGAAGCGTCAGTAGCTTAATGGCAGGGCGCGGATCGCGAACTCAAAAGGTCGTGGGTTCGAATCCGCCATTTGACTACTGTCGTGATTATGTTAATTAATAAGATTACTAATATTTAAAAAACATTTGCCAGCCCGCCTGCCAAACGTGGCAGCTATGTCAAAATCCCTCCTGTGACGCAATATATGAGACTAGGCTATTATTTAGCAGTTGACTTTCATAAGGACGGAATGTTTAAGAAAGCTTGAGCATACCAGTTATGATTCTTTCGACTTAAAACTTATATTTAAGTTAGCAAAAATAGAATTGTAAATAACACCATGCTTTTAGGTATATAATATAGTCAGTTCATTTAAATATGTCTTATAATAAAACAATTTTTTTTATAAAGAAGTATATTTGAGGGGAATCTAAGGGAAGGGAAACTAAAACACAAATAAAGTCCAGAACATGGCTCTAATTATTAGCACTTTTGTTGTTTATACTTTTTTCTAAATTCATAATATATATTACATAATGTGTACAATTTTATACGTGCTAGATAAAATTGCTGTAGTATTTTTTTTATACCGAAATATCTCATATTATAAATCAGTACCTGGGCGACCGAGCTTTGCTCGAAAGAAATAAATTATAATTTTCTCAAGGATGAAAACTGTCTCAGTAAACTTGGAAAGTAAAACATTATCCAAATACAAAATTTCACTGTATAAGAGCTTGGTTTCGGCTTGGTTTCGCCTTCACTTGAAACCTACGAGTACGTGGTGTTATGTCAATATTTATTTATTCTACCAAGATTATGAGTTATTAATAATGACTGTTATTTCATATTCATTTTTACTGCTGCATACGACTTTGGATGTATATTAGGTATACAATTAGTTTAAAGAATCTTAGAATGAAAAAAAAATTAGGTATTTATCAAATTCAATTCAAATGAAGAGGTAGGAAGGTAAAATTCCCAAATTATTAAATTTAATTTTGAGTTACATTTAATAAACCTTTGATATTACTTAAATAAGTTCTTCTCATACCAAAAACGATTTATATTTTAAAATAAAATTCATAATTTACGTTCTTAACAATAGAAATAAGTTAGCAAAAATTTTCCTTATTAAGTCGTTTCCACCATTAAGCAATTACCCTAAAAGTCGGAGACGCGAGGCCCTTCGCTCTCCGTTGTTGAATTCAAATTCAAAGCATTGTATATGAAGATTAATAAACGTTTTGAGCATGCGCGCTGTTACATTATTACGTAAAAACTGGGTTAATATATAAGTTCAACATTTGTAAATTACCATTAATTACTGATTTTCAATCGCCAATTGTCAATTTTTTTCAGGTTTGATGTGCTCGTGAATGGTGGTGGAGCAGTAACCTTACAATTCCAACGATCTCCTTTCAAACCACTGCGCAGGACGGTATTTGTTCCATGGAATCAAATAGTCGTACTTCCTCCCGTGCAACTGGAACTCAGCGATGACAGCGTTAAAGTGCCTACGCCCAGGTTTGTTAGACTGTGTGATATAATAATATTAAATCATAATTTAAAAACAGAATAAACCTTATAATAAAAATCTATTTATCATGTGAGATGAGGCCTAAAGCGATTTATTATAAAGTGTAGGTACCTAGTAGTAAGCCTACTGCGACCTCTGACGGTGCCACCATACACCGAAAGGCCTGTACACTTAAAATAAAGAAGGGGCAAACACATGTGCTCACCTAGTTAAGACCATCAAACAAAGGAAAACCCTTTAAACGTAAGTGTCCGATGGGTGATAACTAGAAGTAAGATGGTATAACTTAGAACAAAGACCCAAAATTGTTCCAACTAAAACAATTAGAGAATAAAAAATATTTTTTTATTTTTGCCGTTATTAGAAAGAAAAGTAAAGTAAAGTTACAGCCTACATACGTCCCACTGCTGGGCACAGGCCTCCTCTCATTTCTGAAAGGGTTTTAGGTCAAGGAAATGTCCGCCGCGCTGCCCCTTTGCGTGTTGGCGAATTTCACATGTCTTCGATTTTTTTTTTCTTATTTCTCAGACATGCAGGTGTCCTAACGATATTTTCCTTCACCGCCGAGCACGTGGTAAATCAGCACTTAAAATTGCAATTAACAAATTCATTGGTGCCGGCGGGGATCGAACCCAGGTTACTAGCGTTCTGTTATATTATCATCTGAGCTACACGGCTCTTTGGAGATGGGCAGCAGGTTATCAGAAAGAAGCTGCTGCCCGTCTCTTGATTTGTTTCTCTGCCGCTTCTTACGACACCGAGGGGATGATATGGGGTAGTAGTGGATATCCTTAGACCGCCATAACAAGGGCTGTAAAATCTTATATATAACTTATTATTAAGAAAATATTATTATAATATTAATAAAATTTAAATATAAATATTTCAATAATTATTAGTATAGAAGAAATTTGGACAATAACAAGAGAAAAATGAATTTTAAAATTTTAAAATTAACAACGTTTAAAGAACTTTCTTTTCTTGTAGAGCACCGCCTCGATTAGACTGGTCACCAGTGCCACAATGGTGGGAAGCGGAAACCCCACCGTGTGCAGCTCATGATCACGAGAGGCTTCGACCTGAGGTCGTTGCAATGCCCCCACTGGCCTCGCCTGCTGCTTCGTCTGCTACAACTACTACAGTTATATATCCTGAAGCTCAGGTTCGAAAAAATTTAAATTCAAATTAAGGTTATATTTTAATAATTAATGCTTTTTCCTGGAATTTGGGGCCACCCTAATCCCAAATTCTAGGCCACTTTTCATAACAAGGGGTCTCGTGTCGTGACTCGTGTATAACACTTTCGTAAAGTATTACAAATTCCACTTTAGTAAGAGTTATTTTAGACGTAGTAGAGCCACACTGCAGCTATATTATGGTTGCAGCACGATTAGGTCAACTCGACCGGGACACGACCACGTTCTCACTGAATACTAGCGTAAAATAGCAGCTTAATGCTACTGTTGGGTATGGTGAGATTAGAGAACCGAAAACCTTTTATTACTAGTAACATTCTATCTCAGTCCTTGGGAGTGACAACACATCTTCATCTTGATTCTGAATCGAGGATAAATGTAAATGTTAATGAACGTCAACATCCACTTGCCCATCTAAGGGACTGTGACCCGTGTTAGAAATATTTTTAACTTTTATAAGCCATTGATTAACTACTATCCCCCCACCCTGATTACCATTTGTGGTGATGTAGCCGAAGCTGATATACGCATTACAATTTAGCTTAAGAAAAGCCTATTCAGTCTTGCCTTGAAAACACCCGTATTGTAATCGGATGTAATGACAGATACTGGCAAATTATTCCACTCTATTGCTATACGCAACTAGGTATATAAAATATTATATTATACTTAACTATAAACTCCGGTGTCTGTTGTATCAATAATATAGGAACCCAAAGCTTAACATGCTACCTATGCACAGATGGACAATTTTGTGAGTTTCTCCCAAAAGCGACGTGCTACGGTACTGTATTAATAGGCGAATGCGATATTTATTGCATATTTAAAATTATACGAGGTAAACGTTATTATCGAAGCCAAGAAAAACGTTTTTTACGTGGTAGAGCCATGCTGCAGTTATATTAGTAGTATAGTTGTAACACGAACGGGTTAGTTCGACCGGGGAAGGACCACGCTCTCACAGAATACCAGCGTCAATATTTTTTAGCATACAAACACATCTGCATTTTGTTTAGTAATCGAGGATAGGTGTAGATGTCTATGGGCCACAGCAACCGCTTACCATCATGTGGACTGTGTGCTCGCTTGTCACCCTTTTTCTATTAAAAAAAAGTTGTCAATGTCTTGCTGCGGTATAAGGTCCTATGATCTTTGCAAGTGTTCGTTAAGTTGCTGTTCCGTCCTCATATTCATTTACCATCAACTCATGGACTGTGTGCTCGTTTGTCATCCTATCTTATAAAATAAAAAATAAATAAAATAATCGTTTTAAATACGGCGATGCTCATCAATAAGATTGTGGCAAATCCAAATTTGCATTTTGTTTTCTACTTTTATATGATGCAAAGACTGGAAATTTTAAAATGTTTAGTATTAATAATATGACATTTTAATGGCAGAATTAATAGTCATATTAAGTATTTTGATCATTCTATACTAAATTTCCTATTAATATAATTAATAATATAATTTTGTTTACTTTATTTTACAGATCGTAAGTGAATCCATTGGGATACCTGGCTCAACAGTAAAACTGACCTATCGCTCGTCGCAAGCAGCCGGCTATTTGTCTTGTGTTCACGTCCAACTGACACGACGCGTTGTACCCGCGTCTCTGGCACGGGTGCATGTTCGCGTCGAAATTGAGGGTTCCCTTCACACTCATACATATGAAGCAGATCCTGATCTAACCCATATTTTCGCATGGAACAAAAGAAATGTTTACAAGCAAAAGGTAAGTTAGAAGAAACTTATATAGAAAATTATAGTTACTTATACAAAACAAAATACACAGTAAAATCAAAATACATAATATTTACATTAGTTTAAGCTTTTTTCTATCGTCAATTATCACAACAAGCTGTGAGGAAAACACCCACAGCTCGATGAAGTAACAAATCTACCATAGCTTGTTGGAATGATACATAATGGATATTCTTTTTATGGTTTCCTTTCGCGACGAAATCTGAAACGATGATATCTCCTGCAGAACATGCATTAATAGTACAGATTATTAAGTAGCAGTGGGTATTGGTCGGCCATATATCTGCGAACTTAATACCGATAAGCAAGAAAGTTTTTAAAATGTCAGCCTAGTATAGGCAAGCGTATAACTACCCCTCATTTGAGTGAATAAAGACCTGATGAAACAATGATAATGATAATGTCTTCCAGACCGAATTTCGGTCATGGCGGCCAGCCTCAATGGAGATTATTGCCAAAATGTATGCGCAACCACAGGTGCACTCTCTATTCCACCACTCACATAGTCCGATGAGACGATAAACCGACACGTCCGAAGAGAGATCAGGCGCAGGACCAACGGCTTAACGTGCTTTCCGAAGCATGGGGGTGAGACACCGCCAACTTCCTGACTCCGAGCAGCTACTGAGTTTTTGGACGGAAAATTTTAATAACTGATATTTTTATGGCCCGACCCGGGATTCGAACCCGGGACCTCATGATTAACAGTCATGTTTACAACCACTAGACCAACGAGGAAGTCAATGACGATGAAGAAAATAGGTTAAAAGACGTAAGTCGCTTAGGACCGTGCTTTGGTGGCCTACTACATTCGACTGTGAATGTCTGTGATAAAAAAATCCCGAACCGAAGTTCGCTCACGGTAGCCAGTCTCGACGGAGACTAGCCGAAACTAGGCTGATAATGATGCTGCTATATTTTATGTTCGTATTTATTATTCATGTTAAATATTAATTTTCATTCGTTCAATATAAATGTTAAATTCTAATATAGATTTCAAAAATTTTTAGGACTTCTTTCTAAAAGAATCGACAAGAAACTTTTATACAGTAAAAATAACTCCATTGTAAAAAAAAATTGGAATTAGTGCAACAATATTATTAAAAACATGTAATACGTTAGCCGATCACTATTGCGGAAATATTTAATTTCTTTACTTATTTGTCTTTAAAATATTTTTCGGTTATTACATTACTTACCTTTTTTATTTTATTACTGCAGGTATATGGTCAAGCGCAAGCAAAAGTCTCAATCGGTTACGAATACTCCTCTTGTTCTTCTGTTGTGTGGGAAACACAAACTGCTATTCTGGCCGGGTTCGATGTCGATATTTCAGATATCGGAGGTTGGGGCCTTGATATTCATCATCATTATAATTTCCACGAAGGAATACTACAAAAGGGCGATGGAGCTTTATTACACTTAAAACAGTATCCTAGAACTGTACAGGTATTTATATTCTATTAAAACTAGAGTTCTTTTCGTAACAGCATAATTTTAAAGTATTTTTCCAATGCACTACGTGACCGTTTATAATTACAGGTTGTAATGGGTACTGGACTTCAACGGTCCTTGGAATGCCCCGATCATTGCAATGGGAAAGCAGCTGATTCTCGTCTTCTAACCCCAACAGCGTTAACTTCCGGACCAGATGGCTCACTTTATGTTGGAGATTTCAATTTAGTACGCCGAATCACTCCTGAAGGCGTTGTTACTACTGTATTACAATTAGAGTAAGTTTTCTTAAACATATTTTATACCTCAATATTCATTTATTATAAATGTGTTATAGTAAATATTAACGGTAAATTTGATTTCAGGACCACTCAAGTTGCCTATCAATACTATATATGCATATCACCAGCAGATGGATATCTTTATATATCAGATTCTGAGAGACATCAGGTACGAAGAGTACTGGCACTAGAAAAAGTAAGAGACCCATCAATGAACTCAGAACCTGTAGTTGGCAACGGTGATCGTTGTATACCAGGAGACGATACTAATTGCGGCGATGAAGGACCTGCAATCAAAGCCAAATTAGCTCATCCCAAAGGTAAAATATACTACTAACAGCATTTTTTAAATTGATGTTTTAATTTAAAATAAAAAGGCGAATTTATAATAAATCCTTTTCTTTTAGGGCTTGCTATTGCGGCAGACAGAACAATGTACATTGCTGATGGTACAAATATACGAGCAGTGGATCCAAATGGAATAATTCACACTTTAGTCGGCCACCACGGTCATCATAATCATTGGTCACCAGTTCCATGTCGTGGTGCTATACCTCCATATGAAGCTCAGTTGCAGTGGCCTACTGGTGTTGCTTTGTCACCTTTAGATGGCTCGTTGTATTTTATAGATGATCGAATAATTTTAAAGCTTACCGTGGATATGAAAATCAAAGTTGTAGCAGGTCAACCTTCTCATTGTCGACTGGGAAGTGACGGAAAACCAATCAGTAAGGTTACAAATAAAACAAATACGGAATTCCGAGAAGATTCTACTCTTGGAACGATACAAGCCATAGCGTTTGCCCCGAGTGGTATTTTATATGTAGCCGAGTCTGATTCTAAGAAAACAAATACCATTAAGTCAATAGACCCGTCAGGAAAAATTATGCATTTTGCTGGAAAGTTACAAGAAAATTTGAAAGAGTTAAGTTGTGAATGTAATTTAACAGTTTCGGCCACAGTTATTCCAATAAACCCTCGTGATGAAGGAGCAGGTTGTCCTTGTAAGTTAAGCGTAATCGCAGGAGATGAACCGCCAACAAGCACTGAAACTTTATTGTCTTCTAATGCTAAATTTCAAACAATTTCTGCTCTTGCTGTAACGCCAGATGGCGTTCTTAATGTTGTTGACCAAGGTAAATATTAGAAACATTGAATTTTACTTAAGCCTAGCTAAATGTAATGACTTGTTGTAACTTACTATAATTATGTATAATTTGCAGGTTCTCTACATATATTGGCATTAAAACACTATTTACCAACACATGATGAAAATGGTGAATTCAGAATTCCATATCCTCCAACTTCCGAAATTTATGTGTTTAATCGCTATGGGCAACATATTACCACTAAAGACTTGACTTCCGGCAAAACAAGATATTCATTTTTATATTCAAAGAACACAAGCTTTGGAAAATTGTCGACTGTGACAGACGCTTCGGGAAACAAAATACAACTACTAAGGGACTATAGCAACATTGTAAGCTCTATAGAAAATACTCAAGACCATAAGCTTGAACTGAAAATATCGGGAATTGGATACCTAACAAAAATAACAGAAAAAGGAACATCGGAGATAGAATTAGATTATGATGCCAATACGGGACTACTTAATAGCCGATCAGGCGTAAGTATTCTGTTGTTTGTTACTTTTAAAATTTATTGTATCTTTAGCCTCAGCCAAATTCGAAAAATAAAAAGCGATGCATTGGACCACAATGTGTGTATTGTGTATATTAACACGAACCATCTGAAGCTACTTTCGATCCCTATAACTCAAAAACTATTTCGAAAATTATTAGACACTTATGATTTTGCATATCTAATAGAACGGTCCTTGAAAATATTTTTTTATAAAGCTGACTGTAACAAACTAACTAACAGTCCACTTATTAGTAAGTGGCTAGTGCAGCCCGCTAGTGAACCCCCTACAATCAACTTCAAACAATGAAGGCAACAGATGTGTTGTCACCTCTAAGGACTAACATGGGACGTCTCACAGTCTGTGATTATACTGGCGCTGCTATTTTGCGGCAGAAAAAAAAGAATCAAAAAGCAGATGCATTGTCACCCTTGAGGACTAAGATGGATTGCCTCGTTTCCAGTAAAAAGGATCTCTGGCTCTCTACACTCACCATACGAAACAAAGCAGCATTGAGCTGCTATTTGATGCTGGTACTCCTCAGTCGTGCCGACCTATTCGTCCTACAACATTATGATAGCTGCAGCGTGGCTCTACTCTACAATTTTCATCATTTATAACTTGACTTACTCACTCGTCGCTATCTAGACCACTTCTAAGCGAGATACGGAAAACTTCTAATTATGGATATGTGATGTCGACATATTTATTGGTGCGGTTAGTTCAAATGTTTAGTTCTTGAAACAAACTTCACCAATAACTTCTCCGACATTTAATTCTTAGTTAAAGTTTTAAAAAAAGAATACTGTAAAGCGTAAACGCAATACTTAAACATCATGTATATATTACAACTAATATAAAAACAAATAAAAAAATTAAATAAAAAAAAATAATATAACTAAAACTTTTCAAAGATTAATTATATGTTCGCAGTTCTTTAAATCGTAACTATAGGTCTATAGGCATGTACAATATCTAACTGAATTGTTTGTAGTATAAACAGAAAAACTAAAAAAGTTAAGCTTCAGGTTACATATCATTACGTTAATCTAACTTATAGACTATCAATATTTGCCAAGTTATTCAATATCAAAGGACGTAGGACATTCCGCCTATGGTTTCAGGAACTACAATGGAGCTTATTACTAGTTCAGATCTCGACCGAAAATTATTTTACCCTTGGCCCCTTTTTCACATTAATGTTTTTGCTGGGTTAGAAAATACACATTACTAGAATTATCAAAATTTTTTTTAGGCTGGAGATACTGTAATCTACAACTATGATGAATTGGGACGAGTAACTAAGATTATAATGCCTTCTGGGGAACAAGTGCACATAACATCTGGCCTGGCTAAAAATTACGGCTTAGCGGTAACGGTTTCAAACCCCTCAAGCTCAATTCCAGTAGGAGTAGCGAAGAAATGTGAATATGTTCTGCATGGCCAATCTTTCAAACAAATTACTATAAACAATGGTAAGCAAATTACTGAGGGTCGGATTTACTCAAACAACACTTTAGTAATTGAAACACCGTGGTCCGGTAAATTCGAAAGTATTGCAGCAGCAAAACATCCATTGCTGGAAGCAGCTCTTCCTATTGAAGCTGAGATGCTTCATATGTGGTCTCATCAAAGTACCACGTTTGGAGACGGATTAGTAAATAACATGTACTCCTTATACACTTTGGTAGGAGATGTTAGAAATCCACAACAAACACTTAATCGCGAAATATGGGTAAACGATTCTCGAGTTTTAATCATTGAATTCGATCAATTCAAAAGCCGTGAGACATTTTTCAGTGCCGACAGAAATCCTCTTTTCACAATTGCATATGATGTAGCAGGATTACCTCTATCTTTCACACCTCACGGAGCAGGTGTACCATTAAACATTTCATATGATCACTTCAATAGAATAAACGGTTGGAAATGGGGTGAAAGCGAAGAGACATATAACTACGATCCCCATGGTATGTTATCAGAAATCACAAGTACCCAAGATGGCACTAAATTTATATATTACAACGAAGGAAATCTTGTGGCAAAGATCACGTTAGCTAGTCAAAGAAGCTTTAAGTATTTATACGACAGTGACGGCGGGTTAACGCATGTAGTTTTACCCTCAGGAACGAATCATTCCTTTAGTGTACAGCCCTCAATTGGATTCTTAAGAGTAACTTACACGCCACCTGGTTCCTCGAAAAAATATTTACAACATTACTCTCACACTGGAGAATTATTGCAAACCGTGTTTCCTGGCGACGGTGCTCGGGTTATTTATCGATATTTCACAAGTAATAAAGTATCTGAAGTTGTCCATGGAGATGGCCAAACACAAATTCATTACTCTGAGAACAGTGGTCTCCCTTCTGAAATATTACACGTAGATAGAGATGTAGACTATCGATGGGAGTCAACTTATGCTGGTGGACTTTTAATGGAAGAAAGACTAGACTATGGAGCTAAAACTGGCCTCAGTAATGCAAAAATTATATATGATTACGACAGTAATTACAGGGTAATATCTATACAAGGGAGAATAGGCGGACAAACGTTGATACCCCATCATATTGTTTATAATAGCAAAACAGGCGCCCCAGAAATATTAGGTCAATTTACGATGTCAAAACAAAAATGGAATGAAACATCCGTATACGATGGAATCGCTATGTTCTCACGTGTAATAAATGATCAGTTCTTAGAAAAAGAAGTAACTGTGAATATTCACAGAATGGAAGTTTTTCGAATGGAGTTCTCCTATGATAAACACGGAAGAATATCTCAAACTAGAACTCATACAAGAAATGTTGGTGTCAACACCTACACAAATGTTAAAAATTATACTTGGGACTGTGATGGACAGTTAACTGGAGTAGAGGCTCAAGAACCTTGGGGATTTAGATATGACGATAACGGGAACATGCTTTCACTAACTTATAGAGGAAACACTATTCCTATGGAGTATAACGATATGGATCGAATCATTAAATTCGGCGAGGGCCAGTATCGTTATGACAGCCGCGGTTTAGTGTCACAGAATGCTAGAGAGGAACGATTCCAGTACAACTCAAAAGGCTTATTGATCAGAGCAACTAAGCGAGGAAGATTTGACGTCCGTTATTATTATGACCACCTAGATAGGTAAGTTACGCTCTTGTTGCTCAGTTATACCTACATACTTTTAAAAAAAATATCTCATTGTTTCAAAATTAATTAACTGAACTCTAATTATTAATTTTAGACTCTCTACGAGAAAGGACAACTTTGGAAACGTAACACAATTCTTTTACACTAACAAAGAAAAACCTCACGAGGTCAGCCATATATATTCACCTCGAGAAAATAGATTTATGACTCTTGTTTATGACGACAGGGGTCACCTTATATACACTCAGGTATATAAAATTTTGCATATAGATGATACATAGTAAAAATTTGTAAAATATTGTTACTAAAGCTATTTTTTCTTTTTGTAGGTGGCTCGGCACAAGTATTATATAGCAACAGATCAATGTGGAACGCCAGTCATGGTATTCAATCAGTACGGAGAAGGCATTAGAGAAATAATGAGATCACCTTATGGACACATTGTGTACGATTCTAATCCATACTTATACTTACCAGTAGACTTCTGTGGAGGATTGTTGGACCAAGTAACGTCATTAGTACATATGGCAAACGGAAAGGTGTACGATCCTTTAATTGGCCAATGGATGTCACCATTGTGGGAAAATCTGATTGAAAGAATACATAACCCAACTCAATTGCATCTTTATAGATTCAATGGCAATGATCCTATTAACGTACGACCCCAACATAAAAAACCAACAGGTAATTATACTTTTAAAATATTTTATCCTTATTGCAACAAAGCAATAAAAATAACTCAATATTTATTCACAGATCATTTATCCTGGCTGGAATTACTGGGCTACGATACGAAGAGTTTGGCGCCGCAACTTTATCCTGATGAACTGCCAGGTGGATCCGTACTGCCAAGTATTCCACGAGGACGTCCTGTATGGGGCTCCGCACCAGTGGACAGCAATCCAGGCTTACCTTCTGCTATGTCGCTACTCCCGAGTGTTTCTATTGAATCCGGTTTCTTGTCCCACATGTCTAACAAGAGAATAGCTGACTTTAGAAGCCTTTCCATACCGGCTATGTCGGCTCTCAAGACGGACGCCCTTAATTTAGCGCCGAAGAGGATCGGCTCTGACTCAGAACCACCATTTGGCCGAGGCATTTTAGTATCACGGAATTCAAGAGGTCGAGCCGTCGTCTCGACCGTGCCATCAGCTAATGCCATCTATCGCGATGTGTATACCTCCGTTTTCAACCGATCTCATCTTCTGCCTTTCTCGTTCGTCGTTCACGGGGATCAGCAAGACGTGTTCTATTTTGTGAAAGAAGACACGTGGAGAGCTGCTGACGATAAACAGCAACTTAAACGAATGCAGGGCAAATTGAACGTGACATTCCACGAAGTAGCCGAAGGAGGACGATCGTATGCCGACGTAAAAATCCATGGTCAAACTAGCATTGTCAATCTGCGATACGGTACAAGCGCAGAAAGAGAACGACAACGTCTGCTGCACCATGCTCACGTTGCTGCAATAAGAAAGCTTGGCATAGAGAACGTGAAGCATTACGAAGCGGGTTAGGAGGCTCTCTAGACTGGTCGGTAGCTGAATTAGACGAGATCCAGAAGGCGGGCTCTGCGGCTGGATATGAGGGTGAATATGTGCACGATGTGGCTCGTTACCCTGAGTTGGCCGAAGACCCGTACAATATACGCTTCGTGAAGAAGAGAAGCGACCGTGCCGAACGACGTCGACGGAAGCGTGAAGAGTGTCGCGCGCCCTGGTGGCTCTCCCGGGACGACCTCTGCTAGTGACATGCCGCCATCCATATGCCAAATCGTATGAATGTAAATTGTCGTGACTAAAAGATGACGGATGACCGTGTGTGTGTGTGATAGTAAGATATATTTTGTAAATAGTCTCTATTAATTGTTAATTGTTGATGTATGTATGTACGATAGATGCGAATCCCTATCGCTATGTAAATATTAAAGTTTAATTTGCAGGGAGAGAATGGACCTTCTGAGAGGACTGATATTAAAATAAATGTAATGTATGTATAAATATTAAGACGATTTATGTGAATATGAAATTATTTATACTTATTTATCGGTAAAAAGCTTCGATTGTGTCCAATGTTCTTATAAAATTTAGATGAAGACTATTTGAAAGAATAATAAATAAAAAGGCATACTTTTTTAACCAAAATGAATGTTCACTTTGTGTATTTTTTCTTTAACCCGTATATAAGTATATAAAAATGTTCAAGATGAAATTAAGTGAATTATTTTGTAGTGATATTTTTCCAAGCGTAAAATGTTTCATAAATGTCTGCAATAATAGCATAATCAGAATCACGATCCTTAAGGTTTCATGTGTGATCATTATTACAATATTTGGATCTCAACCCAGGATCATTATATTTATTAATGTTGTAGTCTTTTAGTGTAGATGTAATGAGATCGCGATATGAATTGGCCAATGGAATTAGGTGCGCAACGTGGCACACAATCTTTAAACAAACACACATTGAAACTCAATCGCTGATTAGGTAACAATTTACATTTTATTACAAAAAAGTCAAAAATGTACCACGTATTTCGCTAGTTTTTGGTTACGAAAACCGGAGTCCCTTTTTATTAGATACGAGGCATTCCATCTTAGTCCTCAGGGGAGACATCGCATCTGCATATTGATTCTTACTCGAGGGTAAATGAAAATTTCTATCGGCCACAGCATCCACTTACCATCAGGTGGGCTGTGTGCTCGTTGGTCACCCTTATTCTATAAAAAGTAAAGGAAAGACAATAACCAGAGATTTTTAGGCAAAATAAATAATAAAACTACGCGAAGAACAAGAAAATCGCGTGCTGTAGTACTTTTTCATCATGGTAATGCCCCTGCCAATCGATCAGATATTGCAGGCGATGTCATCCGAACCGCTGGGTTTCAGTTGATGCAGCACCCGGTATATTCTCCAGAACTAGCTCCGAGTGATTTTCACCTTTTTACTCGCCTAGAGAAGCACTTGCGTGATATAAAATTCGACGGCGACGTAGGTGTGCTGTAGAGGCTATTTTCGAGTCCCAGGATAAAGCCTTTTTTCCGAGGAAATTAACCAACTCGCAAAACGCTATACAAGGTGTATTAGCTTGAAAGGCAATGCAAAATATTATAACATTGGAAAATTAGCACAATTTATATATACTTGTCCTAAAGTTTCATTAGGTTTCCAAAAACTTAATGATCAATCTAGCATTTCAACAACTTAACATCACCATCTTAAGGTGTGGTCTCTATTATATAAGCCAGTAAAGTTCCATTATAGAGCGAGGAGGAGATCGTCAACATACAGATGTTACGAACAGTTGAAAACTGAAACGATAGAATTTATATTATAGTAGAGAGTATACCATCTTACCGTATGCCCGTTTAAATGTCAGCTAATGTCGAGAACAGTTCTCCTAATGGTACTAATTGCTGGCGACTGCGAAGATAGGATAAGAACTGGGTTCTAAAATCCAAGATTAAATCGGTAAGGATATAGATGAGGATATCGAGTTAGAGCCTGTTAAAGTATTTGAAAAATCAACTTGCACTACCATTGCCATCACTCATCGACGACTTTAAACAAGGCATTAGTAAGTAATGTATTCTGATCTGATATTAATCAGTCAGGTTTTCAATCAAATCAGAATTAAAGAGAAATAGATTAGATTAGATGATTAGAAAATTAATATTCAGTAGATTATGTTTTGTTATGTTATACAAAATTGCTTGTGAACACGGACTTCCACAACTTTAATAGGATAACTCAAAAACTACAGGTCAAATCTTGATCAAATTTATATGGGACTACATGAGAAGCACCAGCTTTTAAATGAAATAATTATCAAAATCGGTTCACCTAGAAAAAAGTACTGTACACTAAAAATACAGTCGAATTGAGAACCTCCTTCTTTTTTTGAAATCGGTTGAAAAGGTGACGCACCTAATTTGTAGTACACGGGCGACCGAGCTTTCGCTAAGCTTTAGAATAAAGTATAATTTTCTCAATAATTACACCTATCTCGAAAAACTTGTAATATAGAACATTGCCTAAGTACAAAACATCATTCAAATCGTTATAAGTCGTTTCTGGGAAACCAGTTAAATACATACAAAGTATTAAACAGGTTTGATTGTAATGGATAAAATAATGATTTTCTAAAAAAAATACACGTAATTCTGCAAATAAAACATTTTTTAGTCTATAATAATTTATTTTTGTCAGCAGTGGGGCGTGGGGCTACACTACAGCTGTAATGTATAACTCGAATTAGCGCACACCGATATGGTAACCTGACGTATTAACTATTAGGCCCGCCCCCACTGACCTCTATATATACATGTATATATAGAGGTCAGTGCCCGCCCCACACTACATACGGAATCCAGTTTCAGAATTCCGAAACGGAACGATCGGTTCGGCCACACACAAACGGTATCCCGTTTTGCCTGCAAAATTCCGTACGGAAAATTACCGTAGGTGTGTGGTGTGGTGTGGTGATCGAGATTCCGTATAACCGCCTGTGCGTTCGGAATCCGGAACAGAAAAAAGACCGCTCCGAACGCAGTGGCGAAGCTAGGGCTCCAAACTAGGGCAAACCCATGATATGGTTTTGTTGTTTATAAAAATACACCAATCTTGATCTGTCTCCACTCTTCAGTTTCATATTCAGTGCTGTCGATGACTTGTTTAACAAAGCACACAAAAGGCATACTACTGCTAGATAGATTGTATGACATATCAGCAATTGCATACCTTCGGTGGCTTTGAAAAAACTCTTTTGGGTTTGCTTGAGCGAAAGAAAAAGATATTTACATACAATACTATACATGAACAAAGTACATACAAACTATGTACAAAATTAAAAAAAAACACGAATTATTAATATTCTAAATTGAATGGTCTCTCTTTCTTAAGGAAAGATTTGATTACGTCCGCGTAAAATGTTGGTGAACATTTTAATTGTACCAATAACTGTTTTTCAATTGCGATAATTGATGAGTCCGAAAGACGTTGTTGAACCTTGTTATTGTACATTCCCAACAATGTTTAAAGATTTTCCTCCTTCCTTTTCCTCTCCAATTAGCACTTTAACACACTTCAATTCATCACAAAATGTATCTATTTATATACAATACTATATTATGTAAATTTCACTATTATCCTCCATTTTCACTAAAAATCTTTGAAAAAGCAAAAATTTTCAACAGACACAAGCACAACCAAAACAAACATAAACATTGAAATGTGAAGTGAACTTGCAAACGTATCGCCCGCGCGCACGCGCACTTCGAAACAACTTCAGAGCAAAGCCTAGCTTTTGGTTCCATAGTAATTGCTATATACGCATTTCCTAGTTATATTTCACTATAGAACATTTTGCCACAGTCTTCTCGAAAGTCCGGTAAAAAGCCAACGCATGCGAAAGAGACGACTAGTCGCTCAAATCGACTCCTTGCTTTCATTTATTTTGACTGTCCATTGGGGGTTCGCTTTGAGACAGAGAAAATACGAATCAGTGTATTTCGAATTGAAAGCAAACTGCCAAGTGTTGACGTTACATATATACTACGAGGTCATGACCTGTGTAGAACAGAGCAGCGCGCGGGAAATTTTAAATAGTTTGAAACAGTTTACGAGTTATTTTATTAGTTGATATTATTGATTGAGCAGATTGAAATGGCAAGCCTGGCTTTTCGGCTTCTTTGGAGGCCTAGCCACTGTCCGAACGCAAGTGTTCCATAGATTTTGTATGAGTCTCAATACAAATTCGTAAATTCCGTACGGAACGCACCCAGTGTGGATTGCGCAACCGAAGCGAATGGGTGATTGTAGTACATGGAGGATTATATTTTTCATCGTGACGATTGCTTGTTGTGTCCCGCATAGGGAAAGCAAGCGCATAGGACTCTAGTAGGAGAAAAATATAGCAGTACAGTTTAAAGGATCTGCAGAAGTTCCTTGGCAGTTTTCTTTTTGTCAGTTTGTCACATAATGTCATTTAATTGCAAAGATAGTTTTAAATAAAAGTTTATCCATTTCTAGAGTATATATATATATATACAAAACAATGCCTCAGTAGTTTGGTTTATTTATTTTAATCTAATTAATATGAAATATAACAAAAAAAACATTATCCTTTACTTTTTTCTTATTTATATTAACTTCCCCGCAATGAAATCTGTCAAATATTACACTTCATTTTTAAATGGCGCCGACCTGGAGGCAGAAACATTCGTGAATTCTTCATTTCCATAATAAGACTTATAAGCACGATAGACTTTACGCTCAATATGATTCTTCCACCCCTGTTACTGTTCCCTCTAGCTCATCGTTAAGAAATGATGTAAGAAATGAAATAATTTGTCGAAATAGTTTATAGACATCCGATAGTTTAAAAAATCTGGATAGGCTCGTAATTTGGCTCTTTTTACATAATACTTTCTTGAAATCTTAGAGTGTTATGGGGATGCACCCAGTAACGGTGGCAATTTGTTTTCTTATTAGCTAGATACAGCAATAATGCAATCGC